CTTACATCTTCAATTGTGAAGACTGATGCAAAGAATTCATTTAGTTTTCCACAATGGCCTTATCCCCTTTGAGTGCTCCTTTAGCATCTCAATCATCCAGAGGGCCCACTGGTTGGGAAGCAGGAAGCCTGCTGAACATGTACTTGAAAAAAAAAAAAAATGTGCTGTTACTTTTTGAGTTTTGGTCTAGCTGTTCTTCAAATTCTTTTTTGGCCTTCCTAATTTTTTTTTTGCATTTCACTTGCCAGAGTTTATGCTCCTTTCTATTTTCCTCAATAGGATTTAACTTCCACTTCTTAAAGGATGCCTTTTTGCCTCCAACTGCTTCTTTTACTTCGTTGTTTAGCCAGGGTGGCACTTTTTTATTCCTCTTACTATGTTTTTTTTTTTTTTTAATTTGAGGTATATATTTAATTTGAGCCTTTATTGGGGGGAGGGGCTTTCAAAAAGTTGCCATACAGCTTGTAGGGATTTCACTTTTGGCACTGTGCCTTTTAATTTCTGTTTAACAAACTTCCTCATTTTTGTGTAATTCCCTTTTCTGAAATTAAATGCTACCGTGGTGGGCTGCTGTTGTGCCCCCTTCACACGGATGTATTATGGTCACTATTACCAAGCGGTTCATCTATATTCACCTCTTGGACTAGATCCTGTGTTCCATTTAGGACTAAAACAAGAATTGCCTCTCCACTTGTGGGTTCAAGGACTAGCTGCTCCAAGAAGCAGTCATTTAAGGTGTCAAGAAACTTTATCTCTGCATCCCATCCTGAGGTGGCATGTACCACGGGATAGTTGAAACCCCCTATTATTATTGAGGTTTTTTATTTTTATAGCCTCTCTAATCTCCATGAACATTTCACAGTCATGATCACCATCCTCATCAGGTGGTTAATAGTATATACTGCTATATTCTTATTATTAGAGCATGGAATTACTATCCATAGAGATTCTATGGTACAGTTTGATTCATTTAAGATTTTTACTTCATTTGACTCTATGCTTTCTTTCACATATAGTGCCACTTCCGTAACAGCACAACCTACTTTGTTCTTCCAATATATTTTGTACCCAGGTATTACTGTGCCCCATTGATTATCCTTATTCCACCAAGTTTCTGTGATGCCTATTATAACAATATCCTCATTTAATACAAGGCACTCTAGTTCACCCATCTTATTATTTAGACTGCTAGTATTTGTATATAAGCACTTAAAATCATCACTTTTTAGCTGTCTGCCATTATGTGATGTAATTGAATGGGACTCTTTCATTTGACTGTTTCTCATCGGATCCTACCCATATTTTATCATCTTCCATCCTCTCCTCCTTACTAGGATATAGAAAATCTCCATTAATAGATCCTCCCCTAAGGGATATCTCTGTCCGAACCACTGCACCTGTTGGCTTTCCCCCAGCCCATAGTTTAAAAACTGCTCTACGAACTTTTTAATATTACGTGCCAGCAATCCAGTTCCATTTTGGTTTAGGTGGAGACCATCCTTCCTGTATAGGATCCCCCTTTCCCAAAAGTTTCCCCAGTTTCTAATAAATCTAAACCCCTCCTACCTACACCATCGTCTCATCCATGCATTGAGACCCTGCAGTTCAGCCTCTCTAACTGGCCCTGCATGTGGAATTGGAAGCGTTTCAGAGAATGCTACCAAGGAGGTCTTGGACTTTAATCTCTCACCTAGCAGCCTAAATTTGGCCTACAGGACCTCTCTCCTGTCCTTCCCTATGATATTGGTACCTACATGTACCACGACCACTGGCTCCTCCCCAGCACTACACATAAGTCTGTCTAGATGTCTTGAGACTCGCAACCTTTGCACCCGTCAGGCAAGTCACCATGTGGTTCTCCAAGTGATCGCAAACCCACCTATGTTTCTAATGATCGAATCGCCCATTACTAATACCTGTCTCTTTCTAATAACTGGAGCTCCCTCCCACGGAAATGGTATCCTCTTGCACCGAGGATACTTTTCATCGCCATATGTTTAAAAACAAGTATTAGCTCAATAAGCTCAACATTAGCTCAATAAGCCAGATGCAGTTTAAGGTCAGGAATATTAAAGTATTTAAAAAAATAAATCTGTACTCAGGCCAACTGTGAATGAGATAATGTTCTCCCACTTTTGTAACCTGCTTTGAGACATACAATACAAAAGCACTAGATAAGTGCTAAATGTAATTAGGCACATTTGACAGATGAGGTAACTAGTGGACAGAGAGGTTCAGAGATATGGCAGGGAGATAACATGGCCTTAGCTAAGCTTAGGCCTTGACTATCAAACCACCAGCTTTTCAAAGTCAGGGCAAATTTGTAGAAACACTATTTTTAATATAGTGCAGTTAGCTGACATGCTGATAACACAACTCTATGATTGCTAGAAATGAAGACCACACTGACAAGCTAATAACCCCAACGGTAGTCAGGCTCATCCTTGTTTACACAGGCCATAACGCTGGGGTCAACAGCATACTGGTAACCATATAATTAAAAAGAGTGTTGTAATCAGATTTTCATAATGTAGACAAACCTCAAGGGATTAAGGTTCTGGGCTTGGGTTTGATCTTCCATTTGCTATTGCCTTTTAGCAAAACAACAATACTTTTTATTACATGAAACTAAATACAATTCTTTTACCAACAGAGTCAAAATATGAACTCAACACAGTCGTTTTGAAAGATGAAACTTATCTATGCACATTTATAAACTGACTCAAATGCAAGTTCCCCTATCTTATACCATCAGAAGTTGTTTATCCTACTAAACTGCATACAATTCCGTTTCTTGAGAATATGGTATATGGAGAGCTGGTAGTGTAATGCCAACAGACCCCAGTCGTCAGCAGATGGGATCGAAGCTGGGGCCTCTGGAACTTAGTGCATGAGCCTCTACCGCCAACTGGCTGTAAGCTAAGGCTGTAGAGCAGACTCATTTTATCTCTCTCTCTCTCTAAGTGGTCTCAGTGCCAGTAGATGGGACAGAACACCACACCCAGAATGTGTGTGGGTTACAGTAGCAACATCTATATTTAGGTTGCCTAACACGTCGCATTATGAGGACACTTGCAGACTTTGAGAAACTCGCACCTCCATTGTTTGCCACAGGCTTTTGAAATTTGGCAGTGGGGAAGACCTCTGGCTAGAAAAAGTACTTTTCTTTGTCCAGTGAAATTCCATTCAGGGTTTGGTGAGAAACTGTTAGAAAAGAGTCACTTCCCCTTCTCTCACTTGCCTGCCACAGGAAAAAATTGGTAGAATGCCAAATCAGTAACAAAACAAACACTCAAAAAAAGCAGAGCCCATACCACCACTAAAGCAGCTGCTACCACTGCCATCACTGTGCTGAGAATGGTTGGGCTCTACCAGAGCAACTTGGGTGGGTGGAGAGGCACACCAGGCCAGGCTCCCCCAAACACTTTCTCAGATGCAGCACATGGCCTCAGCAGCCTATTTACCCCTCACCAGTAACAAAATTTGTTTTTAACCTTACACACCCTTCACTCCCTAGGAAATTTCATACCAAAACAAGTTAGCAGAATGTTATTTAGGTTACAGATCCAAGCATTATACAATTAGGAAATCCCACATTTAAGGTTCCCATGCAACTTAATTTTGCCCCCATGAGCATATGCATTATGCTACAGCATTTAATTACATGATTACATACTTCCCCCACCCCTCCCACACACACAGGACTCCGACCTCATTCAAAGCACAGGAAGGCCTTGCCTGACCTTTGAGTGCTCAACTTTGCAATCTATACAACACTCTTTTAATGTAGCTTGTTGGTGTAATTTCCTTGATTTTGTATCATAATGTATTCTCTATTATAATATAGTAACTGATATTTTCCATTAGCACTATCCCTTTAAAATATTAAAATCAAGATACTAAAAGTAATACATTAAAATAAAACTTAACCTATAAATCAGAGTTACAGTTGTGGTGAAATATGGATTTATACTCAATGAATGAAATCTTGGCCATACTGAAATCAAGGGTAAAATTCCCACTGTCTTCAACAGGGTCAGAATTTCACCCATAATTATTTCTTTGCTTCTAAGTGCCTGAGTTTGAAAGTGAAATGCTCAAGAAGTAGTAACAATGTAGTTAATAACTTATTTTAAGAAGTCTTATGTAGGTACACCAGCAGATAGTAGAAATATAAAAATCACAAAAAAGACACAATATAGAACCAATTTCAAGACTGCTTGCAGCTAGTAGCATAGCAATTATTAAATTCATATACTTAAAAAGGAAGCTATAAAAATTAGTAAGTCTAAAAAATAGATACCTTATGTTAATTCTTACTAGGAGTAATTCATGTATTCATTTCTTTTTGTAAAATAGTAAACTCTTAAAAAATATTTGCTTAAGTTAAATTTGGTTTATGTGTGTTCTGATTGATGAAGTGAGAATGTACCAGTTTTACACAGAGTTGCATGAGGAGGATGAGATAATATCTTTTATTGGACCAACTAGGGTTGGTGAAAGAGACAAGCTTTCGAGTGTACACAGAGCTTACTTCAGACTTAAAGATATATAAAAAGATATTATTTCACCCACCTTGTGTCTCTAACATCCTGGAATCAACATGGCTACACTGCCACTGCAAACAACTGAATTGCAAAGCAGTTAAAAAAAACAAAAAACAAAAATGCACCCCCACATACTACATTTAGTCCAGGAGTCTATGAACTCTTCAAGAAGAATACACCTCTACCCCGCTATAACGCGACCCGATACAACACGAATTCAGATATAACGCGGTAAAGCAGTGCTCGGGGGGAAGGGGGGGGGTTCGTGCTGTCCGGCGGATCAAGCAAGTTCGATATAACGCAGTTTCACCTATAACACGGTAAGATTTTTTGGCTCCCGAGGACAGCGTACTATCGGGGTAGAGGTGTACTTACACATACTGCCACTGACAAAGTTGGCCAATTTTAAATGTTACAGTATCAGTCTCAACATTTGTGTTTTTCAATTATTACCTGGGTGAAGCTGCAATTTTAGATGAACCTGGGATTTCTGGAACAGGCCGATGTCTTAGCATAAATGAGCGAGTTGTTCTGGGAACTACTTTAGTACAGCTTTGCTTACAAGGACCATACAAGTCATTATCCACCATTTCACCTTTAAACTCAAAGAACGGAGAATCTGGTAGGACATTCGGTGAGATGTCCACCTCTGAGAATGTTAGATGCTCATTCTCACTGGACTTGGTTTCAGATGAGTCAGCAAAAGAAGACCAAGAACTTGGATCTTCGACATATAATGCAGAATGGCTGTCAAAGTGCAAGTTACCTTGTTGTGCCTTTGATTTTTCCAGTGCAACATCCATATTAGGTATTTTTTGAAAGTTAGCACTTTTCTCAATGTTTCCACTAAGGCTGACAGCATCTCCTGAACAATCTGATTTCTGGTACGATGAACTAGAAGATTCCAAATCTGAAAAGCTACCATCTTTCACTTCCAATAACTCATGTTCAGTAAATTCACTCTTTTCTTTACTAAAAAGTCTTGCTGGCAATGCTACAAATTCTGGACTAGCTTTAGCAACCCCGTTGGAACTTAAATTGGATATTTTGGAAACCTGGGCATAGCACAAAGAATGACTTTCCCCTATTTCCTCCAAGTCCTTGAGTTTCAGATTTTCAGATGAGACAGATTTTTCTTGCATTTTTGAAAATGTGATCTCTAACTGCTTAAGAATCCTTTTGCGGTGTCCAGTAGGTGATATTCCAATTTGCTGGAGCACATTATTATTTATTCCTATGCAGTCTGACACAGCATTATAGCCAGCTTCTTTGAAGTAAGGAAGATACTGCACCAAGTTGATGTTGGCCAAGAATTCTTTGATATCAACATTCCTGTCTCTGGATGACATGATGGCAGCTTCATTCCTGATGTAGGCTCTCAACAATACAGAAGCACAGTCTCTACATGTGCTTATTCTCCAGTGTAAAGTAAGTAAGCAAACTCCAGAAGTAAACTCTTCTTCAGTCACTCTAGAGAGAATGAAATTTCTTCTAAAAGTAGCAATTCTGCATAGGCCAAGGATGTAACTGTAAACCCAGAAAAAAAAAATGTTAAGAAATGGTATTTTTCCCCACTGAACGTAGTGCTTGCATTCACAATCTAAGCCAAAATGTTGAAGCCTCTCTCTATATCCATTTTGGAATTTACTTAAAACATGGAAATCTCAAACAGATAAACAATGTAAAATCTTGAGCTACTTAAGGGGAATAGTGAAATTTGAGTTTTTAAAATTCAGAACAAATACTGTTATATTGTTTCTTTTGGAAATATGGTTCACAAAAGGGTTCTGTTATACTCTACAGTCTACACCATCCTCTGTATTGGACAAGGTTGAGAAAGGCAACCCCACACTCATGCATGGTTGCTTATGGAGTGGCTAGACAGAATGTCTCCCAGGTGCACTAGATGTTCTTAACTAACGTGCTGAAGAGTACACCCTGGACGGAGAGAGCATGGCAGGTCTGCTACTAGCATGCACAAATCAGCCTTAACATAAACATGCATATTGGGTCTCCTTGGGAAAGGAATAGGGAAAGACAGCTAAAAAGTTGCCCAGTTCATTGAGCTGTCCTGACTCATGGATGCTGACTCTGTTCTGACAGGATCTCTAATGAATAAGAAGCTACTTGTAGCAACACATCTTCCCCTCACTTTATGTTGTTTGGAGGTAAAAGGTAGGATTTACCCTATAGGCATCTAGAAATCACTTCACCCTGTTTAATAATATCCAACAAGACCACACAAGAAGAAGTGAAAGATGCTAAATCCATTTGATGCAACAGGGGAAGTTTAGGTGGGCAAAATAATTATCCAAACCAGAAATTTAGCCAGGGAAAAATAGATTACTTCTTGCCAAAACTGTCTCAAGATATTTAATGACCACTAATGCTCAATCAATTATACATATTTGAAGATGAGACATTAATGAAGTCAATTGGTACACAATGTCAATTGCATACAATAAGGGGGGGAGGGGGAAGATGTACTGCTGCCAAGATGTTCATGATTCAGACAACCCACTGTCATTCCAGTGATGTGGCTGGTCTCAAGAAGGGTGTAACTTGGGCAGCCACACAATACGTCAGTGGGGAAAAGCAATGGGGAAGTGAAGTAATTAATCAGACTAAGATTTTTTTTTGGAGACCAGTAAAGTTTATGAACTCTGACAGATATGCATCATTCTTCACTGCTGAGCAAACTATAGCATTTTAGTCATGAGTTTTGAAACTAATGAAGTCTAAAATACCCCAAGAATCCTTGAATATTATAGTAACATTACATTACAAGAAGCCATAACTTTATTTTCTTTTTCAGATAAACAGAAGTCAAACATAAGAGTACTTCAAGGTATCTTTCCAACAACTTACATAAAGAAATATTAGAGGGACATTAAGTATGGGCCAAAATTAAGGTTTATTTATTTTAATTCCATTGGAAACATTTAAAAAAAAATCCACTGTCATGTTTGCAACCCAAATATTATACACTAGAACAATGCAGCGAGACCAGAAAATGAAATAGACTATATCTAGGTTTCGTAGAATTCAATTTTTTATAATGTTTACAAATATTTATGTTTATTTCTAAGCTTTTTTATTTACCTATTTACATTTTCATAGTTGTGAAAAATTATGGATTTAAGGATTTATTTCTGTTGATTTATATTTTTACAGTTGTGAGAATTCATGGAGGGGTCAGACAATTTTTAATGACAGTGCACAATGAGAATCAAAAAATTAAAGCTTTATAAGTGTTAAAACACGTTGTCAACATCACATGTCAACATATTTTAAGTAAATATGCTTACATCAAACTCTAAGTAGTTCTTAAGCAGTATGTTTCTTACTTTGCCTATCTGTACATTTTGACTATCGATAGACATTTTTTATCTTGGTTTTGTACGTGCATCATGAAATCAACATTTAACAACATTTATTAATAAAACTCTAACTCTTCAAACACTAACTATAACAAAACAAAAAAACCCTATCTAACCTATATTCATTGTCCAAGCTGATACAATAAAAAAAACAGAATGCACATTTAAGATTCAGTTTAAATTATCTAAAATGATATGATAAACATAGTTTAAGGCTCTTATTAATCCAGTAGTAGCCCTTTAGGAAGGAAGAACATATTCCATTTATAGAATTAGATATACAAATCAACTGTGTCTAAACATTTCAAATTCCTTCAGTCTGTGTGTATGGTTAAAGTATAGCTACTATTTTTGGCCAATTACTTAAGATCCAGGAAGTATGTTGTAAATAATCTTACAGTATGATAGAAATTCTGCCCTAAATGACATTTCTTGAGAGCTATTAAATAATAAAATAAAATAAAATAAATAAAAATGCTCTACCTGAACAAGTTTAAGTCACTGAATTTTTCTAAAGAGTTTTCATGCTTTTTAAAGAAATTCTATTGGAGTGGGGGAAGGAAAGTATTCTAACAACTAAAGTGTATAAATATAGGTTACCATTAATCAGAGACTGATCTCACGGGTGTGCTGTGGAAGACTCAGGGCATGTCTACACTTACTGGGGATTGACGCTGTGGCAATCGATGTACCAGGGGGGTCGATTTAGCAGGTCTAGTGAAGACCCGCTAAATCAACCACAGATCACTCTCCCATCGACTCCGGTACTCCATCAGAATGAGAAGCGTAAGGGAAGTTGATGGGAGACACTCTCCCCCATCGACCCAGTGCAGTGCAAACACCGCAATAAGTCAACCTAAGCTACATCGACTCTAGCTACATTATTCACATAGCTGGAGTTGCGTAACTTCGGTCGATTTACCCCCATAGCATAGAGAAGGCCTCAGACTTGTGAGTTACCGTTGGCTCCTGGGAGATCCATAGCTACTGTATTCATTGTCCAAAGTGACACAATAGCTACTGTGAATGGTCACAGCTCCATTGAAGGTAATGAACCTACAAGGAATTACAAGTATTTACATCAGCCGGAAAGCTGCCCTGTAGTCCACATGAATTTGGACAGTAACACTGTTTTTTATATGCTCTCAATAAGAGTCAGGTAATACTGACAGAAGCTTTAGTGAAAGTCATATAACCCTTTATCTTGCTCTTATGACTGTCTTCCAAAGCTATGTGACCACAGACACTTCTGTATTTGGGATCCAATTGCAAAGAACTCTCCATCTCCTGCAACTCCCTTCAAACCTGCAGTAAAAATGTGGGGTTTCAAAAAGAAAAAAAAAAAAAAAAAAAAGAACATTTTAAAATTAGGTAATGATTTATTTCAACAAAATGGGAAAGGCAGCAGATACAAAAAGCAAGCTTACAAAAACACACACTCCACTCTGAAAGAAGTGAGACCCCTTTGTTTTATATCTTTCCTTTCCACACTTCATCCACTCTGTCTTTTAGGGTCTGTCTACACTGGAAGAGAACCTGGGTCTGTTGGACTCGGGCCTGTGGACTCAGTGTTTCCAAGCATATGCTCAGGCATCCACAATGCATTGCAAACATGGGTTTACAATTACTGGACCCAGGTCTCACAGCCATGCTAATGCATCCATACTGCACTACACAGGCCTTCTGACTCCCATCTGTAACTTGACCTGCATCCACACTCCAGAATGACAGGGCTTGGACCAGAGTCTCAATGGGACTTGGGCTCTCACCCATCCCACCAGCAGGTCCTGAATGCTTGCTGAACAGAGTCAAACTCACTTGTGTGTGGATGGAAGGGTGGGCTTGGGCTCAAACCGAATCAGAGCCCAAGCGTGCAGTGTAGACGTACCCTTAGATTCCAGTCCAGCTAACATATACACACACAAGTTCAATGGGGCATCTCAGATGTTTAAGAATTTTCAGGATTAAGGTCTGAAATTCCTTGTAAGCAAGAGAACTACTGTGGCCACATCAAGCCTTCAACAAACTGCACACACCATTAATTGCAGGATTGGGGCCTTAGGAAACCCCTCCCCCCCCAAGCTCTTTAAGATTCAAACCATCTCTTTCCTGTTTGGAAAGTACACTGCACATCATGGGTGCCCATGGCCATCTTCTAGCCCATCACTCAAGACTCATTACCCCATGCGCTTATGAGATCCACAAAACAGAAAGCATCTAAAACTGCCCTCAAGCAGTTCCAAAGCAGATTCATGCAGTACCATATATCTTTATCAAAGTTTTAACATCTGCAGACAGAAGATTTCCCTTCCCTTTCCTCCTTTATAAAGTGCAATCTGGCCTTGGGGAAGCCTGATAACTTCTTCTATTCTATACCAACTGCTCTGGCATGCAGATACTAGCCTGAAGTTGCCTACAAGAGGAATAATAATGTAGGTTGAACAGCATAGGATTTATGTGCCAATCTGACAAAAATGGAAATGATCCACCCTGAATAAAACCTGGGTAATAGGTAAGTGATCCCGATGTACAGTATAGAATTTGTAAGTGTCTTTAGAATCCTTCTAGATGAGAGGACAATACATATAATTAAGTAGTGTTGTTTGTTTTGGTTTTTTTTAAAGTAGCTCAAAGTAGATCTTTGTTCCCTATGGGGCGGGGGGGGGGGGGAATCTCATACTGAGTGGCACAGAGTTGTTTACATTTCTTGAGCTTCACTGTGATTGAGAAGGTATTTTAACAATTACTAAAAGTCTTCTTGTAAAGTTTTGTAGTGGTCCTTATTACACCCATCTTCAAAATGAAACACTTCAAAAAATAAGCCTTTTTGCGCCACTCAGGATGCACTCTGTTGGAGAGGTGTGGGGAAAGATGAATATATTTGCACAAGTGATATAATGTATACAAATGTTTTCAATGTATACGATGTATACAAATGCCAGAAGTATGAGGAACAAGCAGGATGAACT